CTGGGAGCCTGCCCACTCAAATGAGGACCCTAGCCCTAAGTTTCACTGTCATCAAAGACTTCAGACAATAGAGTTCTCCCATTTAATTTTCTACTAATACGTTCGCAAGCCTTTTTAATTGCTTGCAAATGCATTTTCCCTGTACGGTTATGGAATCCGTATTGCCTATCGCTGCAAGGCTAAGGCGGAATAGAAATCTGTGGAAGGCTTTTGATAAACAGCTCAGAGGGCAGGGCAGGGTCGGAAAGGAGGAGGTAAAAAGGAAAAGAAAAGAAAAGAGAGAGAGAGAAGAGAGAAGTGGAAGGGAGAGAGAGAAGAGAGAAGGGGGAGGGAGAGAGAAAAAAGAAAGAAAAAGAAAGAGAGAAAGAAAGAGAAAGAGAAGGAAGAAAGAAAGAAGAGTTTAAAAAATCGATGACAATCCTTAAACTGAAATAACTGGAAAGTCTGTCAGAAATGTTAATTTCCCCTAAACATTCTAAAGCTTTTTTTTTTTAAAAAAAAAGTCTGCCTTTTCTCATTTGCAATTAGGTAATGGATGCAGAGAGGTCCTTTTGTTGTCAAAGGTGGATTGGGGGTGGTATACCTAGAGGAAAGGGAAAGGGAGGGATATTCAGAGACTGAAAGGAAAGTAAGCACTACGTTGGGAAGAAGTGGAAGAAAGGAGAAGCCCTTGAGTGTGAGCACTCACATTGTAGTTCCCTGACCTCAGCGCAGCGCTTGAGTGTGAGAACTCACATTGTAGTGCCCTTTGGCCCCAGCTGCCCATGTAACTGGGTCAAGTTTAGATGGCTTGCTCTTGCCCAGTATTTCCTTGATTGTTTGGAACATTTTTCTGCCCCCACTTTGTTTGTTGGGGGGTTGGTGAAAACCCAACCAATTTTTTGTCTTTCTGTCACCTGAAGGATTAGGCCCACTCCTCTACCCACCTCAACTGTGACTGGGAGAGGTTAGGTTAGAAGACACACACCACTGTAAGTGGTGGATCACTTACAGTGAAGTTTTGAGTCTTTAAAATTCTGAATAATTGAAACTCAGGCTCCTTGGGGAGAGAACCCTGAGAAGTTACTCTGTGATTGGTTTTTGGAGATCCACAGCTGAGCACCTCTTGGAAGTCTATCCAGGAGAAGGTACTCAGAGGAGGGAATTCTCAAAGGGGTAGCTGAGTACCTGAGAGTGGTCAAAACAAGGACAGCCTTAGATAGGACACAGATGTCCTTTGGCTGCTCTTGATTCTTTAAAGACATCCTTTTTCATACAAGATATGGAGTGTAAAAGAGAGATGCTGAAAGCAGTAGGAGAAGTACACATATTCATATCTACACCTCTTGTTTTGCTTTGTGTAAAGAGCATCACCTACTACTTTGGATCCTCAGTGCACCACTGTTCTCCTAAACAAGTATTCTTTCAAAGCCAGAGGGTAGAAATAGGATCCCTATTGTGCAAACTCATGTCTCAGTTATGGAGCTGCATGCCCCACTGGAACAGAGCATACTAATTTCATTCTTAGAAAATGTTCACACATACTTGCTTAATGGTACAAATTTGATGAATTCAATCTCATATGTACTTCTCTCTAAAAGTGAAGGTAGGACAAAGGAAAGACATAAAAGAGGGAGAAAGGAAAGAAGGAAAAGGGAGGGTAGAATTGAGGAAGATATTCTGGTTGATTCATGTGTGTAAATATATTCAAGGAAATTCTTTTTTGGTAGAAAATGCCCAAATAATTGCAATTATAACTCTACTTTGCGTTAGTGTTACATGGGCAGTTTTGTGAGAAAATTTACTAAAGGAATGAGAACAAATTAAATCTAATTTGCAGGAGCAAAGGAAAAACAAGTAGCCAAAAAAGAAAACAAACCTGAAGGAATACATGTTTATTAAAGTTAGGGCTAGGCACAATATGGCTGGTCTTATTCACCAACCTCAAACAAGCCATGTGCAGCAGATCCTTTTAGTGATGATGTTTGAGATTAGGTCCAAACTTGCAGTACCAACCTAGAAGTTCAGAAAAGGGGCCTACAATTTTCAAAAATTGTCTTCCAGCCCTAGACCCTAATCTAAACAAAAATAATGCATATAAAGATTTCTTAGCAGATTCCTAAAGTAACTTCATAAGGGCAATCCCTCCTAGAGCATAAAACTAGAGCACAAAAGTAGAGCACCAGGTGCTAAAGGGATACCCTTTTTGGCTTCTACCCTGCCAGGGTGGCAGGGCTTCTCCATGCTCTTGTGGGCTATTTTGAGTGGGCAAGTATTGGCCTGGCCTCTGGCTGAGGCTAGAATGCACACCACTAGTTCTCCCATGGAGGGGGCCCCAGGCACCGCCCTGTCTCCAATATGTTGTGGCTAGTTAATTCAATTACGCCACCCGCTGGAGAGTGTGTGGCCAATCATTCTCCAGGAAAGGGGCAAAACAGAGAAAGAGGAATTAACTTTGCTGAAAAGCCCAGACTTTGGGTCAAGCAAGATGGCACTTATTAATTGCTCAAGACTATTAATTGGATGGGAGGGGGAGAGGTGGGAGAGCTGTCTGACAAAAACAAATCCAGCGCATGCACATCACACACAAGGCACCAAACCACACACCTGCCTCAATGAATTTCTTTACAAAAGGGGCGAGCTGAGCAACCCCAGAGCAGATGGAAGGGAACACTGACCAGTGTGTGCATATGGCATGGATGATTTCCTCAATTTTTCTTTCAGGGAGAAACAGCTTTTTCTTTTTTCTTTTCTTTTTTTTTTTAAGTTAAGATGATGTGGGAGGGAGCAGTTAGCCAAGTGAAGTTTCTTTAAGGTTTAGATGCTTGTATAGGGAGTCTAGGACATGGGAACAGGGAAACTATTTCCAAAGATGGAGGCCCTGATGAAGTAGATCCCCAAAGTAAAAGTGATACACATTTCCTTCCTGATTTATATACCTTAATTGCAAATAAAAGGATTGTTCTCATTCTCTGTGATCTTTAGTTTTCTCCAAATCCAGGGCACAATAAAAGAAACTCTGGATTCTCTTTGCCTGAGTACCTAAAAGCCACTCAGGAAATGAGAATAGGAATGAGAATGAGAATGCAATGGAATGAGAATAGGGGGAAGGAGTAGAGAGGTATAGTTGCCAGTAACTCAGCAATGTCCTGATGCATTCAGATGGGTGGGGGCAACTGGAGGTCACTTTGTGGTATATACTCTGCTCAGGCTAGAACTTATTACTGAGAGTATTATAAGGCCAAATCATCTGAGTGCAGGGGAGCATGTGGCTCTTCCCTGGGACAGGGAAAAAACACATGGATCAAATACACTGGGACAGCAGGCGGAACAGGCAGCCAGTTTGTCCTGAGCCTCCTGGCTGTTCCCAGGGGACAGTCTCTGCTGCTTGGACTGAAGCCTGAGAAGAAAGTCCCTTTGCCTTCAATAAAGTTATATCTGGCAGTTGAGGGGTGGGAGGGTGGGAAGGAGTATAGGCTGAGAAGGCGTCATCCTTTTCCATTAGAGCTTGGACTGACTGGGGAGTCAACATCATCCACTAAAGAAAGTGAATCTGACTATTCACAAGATAACTTGCATATTCTTCTGGGGGAAGGTTTGAACTTTATCAAGGGCAGAGATTTTTAGGGTAAAGTAATGGGGACAGGCCCCAGCTACTATGGATAAAGATTATTTATTTCCTCTCTGGGTAAACTATGAAGGGCTGACTTAGACCTGGGAAACAAAGACTCTGATGCAAGCATTTTGGGATTCAGCCCCTCAGTGTCAATAGCACCTATCTTATCCCTTCTACTTAAAGATCAAGTTGGACATTCTCCCTTATCATCGCACTGACCTCTCTGTCTCCTGACTTCATTAGACCAAAATATGGAATCCCAAGAAGGTGGGGGGAGGCTGATGTACATTGAAATAGGGAGCAAGTGTTGGCTGCTGACCCCTGTGCAGGACTGAAGCATCTCAGATCTCCATTTCAGACAATGCATTTCAATTCTTGTCGTGTGCCTTTGTCCATTTGTATAAAGCAAAGAGCTCTGAGTGACAGCCCCAGTTAGCCTGCATGAGCAGATCCTAATAAACCCTCCCAAACCCCGACCCAAAAAAAAAAAAAAAAAAGCCACATGCCTGTTTGCCTGCGGCTTATTATTAAGACACCTTCTCAGCTTAAACACTTAAAAGCTAACCAAATGAAATGACAATTAAGACTGAATTACCCCTTCTATCTCTGAGATGAGTCTATGGGGCCAGCCAATTCTCTCTTAAGAAATAGGGGTGGAGAACAGACCTTGCAAAGCCTCAGTCTTGCCAGTTTATAGCCACTGCCACCCCCTGCAGGCACTAGACAACCTAGTAGGGGAAGCTAAATTTTGAACAAACTAAAGCTCAAAACTGTTTGAAAGTCAAGAAATCCACCAAAGAAATGGAGTAAGGTGTGTGCACTGCCTCCTTCCTGTTCTCTCTTTGTAAAATATAACTACAAGCACTTAAGGGTTATTTTGGGGGTAATGGTGTTCAAATACCTGGTTCCACTGCTAAATGCCCCCCCCCTTCCAACCAATACTATTTACAAGGGAAGAAGGAAAACACAAAAGAAAAGGAAAACATGTTGGGTTTGGGAGTGAAAAACAATATTTACCTAAGTGTAGAATCTTGTCACCACGTCTTTATTCTCTTGCATTTTTCCTAAATTCATTGCCAGTTACACCACTTCTTTATGATGGAAACTTGGGACTGTCCCTCATGGTTATTTATTTTAAAAGCTGCTGAAAAGTGTAAGCCACCTCCTGGTGTTGCCTTTCAAAAGGGGGAAAGAACCCAAATTCGAAGTAAATGTGGAAAGAGCAGTATTGTTTCCACTTGGGCGAAAGCAGATACCCCAATCTAGGCAAAATTGATTCGGAAGCTTGTTGGAAAAAGCCAGTTCTCAGCATGCAGGAAGTGGAGCCAATAGGAATGAGCACTTACCCATGTAAAAGGAAGCTTTAATTAATATATATTTCTATCTCTAATATACACATATTGGGGCTAGATCTCTATCTTTACAATAAAATGTGTGCAAATGCTCTCCGCACAGATGAGTCCCCACTTCAGTCAGTATAGAAAAGCATGATAAAGGTTGGAAAAAATGGATAAAAATGTTGAAAGAACCTCCAGTTCCTTATTAGGCGAAGATACAATATTTATTCCTTGTCTCCTGGGATAAATCTCTTCTGCCTATTGTCCTCCCAGTTCTCAGTGCTGATGCTTAATTTTCAAAACTTCTATATTACCAAGGGACCTACGACATCAGCCAAAGAAATACTCAGCAAGTACAAAATCTGTTCCAGGGAGCTGCTTTTGTGCAGAGGGAAAATTTTGTTCCTACAGGTTTTTAAGTGGGTACGAGGCAAGGAGCTATCTGATCCGGGCAAAACCATTACAATTTAGATCTCTATCTATAGAACATTTTTTTTTTCCTTAAAAAAAATTGGAAAATACAAGAAGTTTGGATTTTTTTCCCGATTCTTTTTTTGGAGGGGGAAATTGCATCGTAAGCTTTTGGAGAAACCCAACATGTCAACTACCTTTCCGGGACTAGTCCACGATGCTGAGGTATTATTACTTTTTTTTTTTTTTTTTTTTTTTTGAGCGCGCGTGTGTGTGGCGGCGGCGGCGGTGGCGGCGGTGGCGGCAGCTTCCCCTGTCTCTAATCTATATTGGACCGTTACGTTTAATTATAATCTGGCTTTCAGGGGAAGTTAAGGAAGGGAAGGGGAGAAAGTTCGTTATGACATCTGTCGCCAGGAAGGGCAACTCTGTTAAGAAACATTTGCCATAATGAGGGAGAAAACATAATCCTAATAATAAGGGGAGGGTGCTGAGGAGAAAGAGATAGAGACAGAAAAAGGATTCTCAGAAAGGCAAAGAAAAGGGACTGATGGGGGGCGGTAGGTGGACATGGGGGTGGGGAACAACGCACCCCTTTTGGAACCGGTTTATTCAAGGAAAGGGAAGCAGAGAAGGTGGGTCGGATTCCCTCCCCCAAATGGTTGACTAAAGAAAGTGAGCAAGTTGAACGATTTGCAGAATGGATTTTTTTAAAAAAATATATGGACAATGATTTTGAGTAGCCCTGGCCAAACATCTTGTCATGGACAGGATCAGAATTTCGGTGTTGGGATCTGGTTGGAGTGGCGACGCGCGGGAATAGCACTTTCTGCGTATGGGCTCTCTCCTGCTCATGGTGTCCCCGGAGTCAGTTGCAAACCTGGTTCCCAACGCCCAGCTCCCTGCACAAGTCGAGCAGGGGCTGGGTGTGTGTTATGTGTGTGCGTGTGTGTGCGTGTGTGATGTCGCCCGCACCTATATAGGGTGGGGGATTTTTTTTTCCCGCTCTCTCCACTGTGAGGACGAGGCCGCCCACCCCCAGTTCGCCTGTTCGCCAAGGCTCTCTAGCAAAGGCGCTGAGCCCCGGCTGCCGCTCTGCCCGAGCCCTGCTTACTAGCTCTCCTAGGAAAGCTAAAGAGAGCTCCAGGCTCTGGGAGAGTGGCGCCTTGGTTGCAAAATGACAAACCTCAAGTTTTTCTGCTCTCCCCTTTCCCCCTCTTCCTTCCAGATACGTCACGACGGATCAAACAGCTACCGTTTGATGCAGCTTGGCTGTCTGGAGTCCGTAGCCAATTCCACTGTCGCCTATTCCTCCTCCTCTCCTCTAACTTACTCTACCACCGGCACCGAGTTTGCGTCCCCCTACTTCTCCACTAACCACCAGTACACCCCGCTCCACCACCAGTCTTTCCATTACGAGTTTCAGCACAGCCACCCGGCGGTCACCCCCGACGCCTACTCTCTGAACTCGCTCCACCACTCGCAACAGTACTACCAGCAGATCCACCACGGGGAGCCCACCGACTTTATTAACCTGCACAATGCGCGGGCGCTCAAGTCCTCCTGCCTGGACGAGCAGAGGCGGGAGCTGGGCTGCCTCGATGCCTACCGCCGCCACGACCTGTCCCTCATGAGCCATGGCTCTCAGTATGGAATGCACCCAGATCAAAGACTCCTGCCAGGGCCCAGCCTGGGGCTGGCCGCCGCGGGAGCAGACGACTTGCAGGTAAATAAGCATGCAGGGAATTTGTCTGCGCCCTCCCCTCTTCGCCCTCCCCCTCCCACTCCTTTAATACTCTGACAGTAAGTCGTCTCTCTCTCTCTCTCTCTCTCTCTCTCTCTCTCTCTCTCTCCCTCTCTCTCTCTCTCCACACACACACACACACACACACACACACACACACACGAAAAGTTATCAAAACAATTAGAGGAGGAGTGTGCCCATTCTGTCCCTCTTATTGGATCCAGGCTTTTCACCTAGAAGCGAATTAGTCCGGCTAGCTGCGGCCCCTACCTTTGGCCAGTACTCACAGAAGTCTTTTGTGAATCCACATTTCTGACCCTGAGCGGATGGGTGGGGGAGATCAGGGAGGCTGGGTTTGAGTGAACTCGACTCAAAATAAGACCCGATGAGTTGATGACCAATCGCACCCTCAGTTTACATACTTTGCAGGATCCGGTCTGCACTCCTGTTCCAGGAGCTCGTCTTCCACTGAGCCTGTGGTGATCTTGCTATGTAAGGGGGAAGGCAACTCGTTTGTTCTTGGGAAATTGTTGGAACACTGAGCTTGAGTAAAAGTTTCACCAGACACATGAGATTGCTATGTAAAGTAAGAAATCTGTAAATGAAAACCTCGAAAATCAACCCCAAAGAAAGAATCTGCACAACGCACTTTGTCAGAGTGTAGCATTGAGTCTAATTCTCTGCGCCTGGTGTTTACCCACATTCACAGCCCTGTTGGATGACTCACATCATTATTTTTTCCTTTTCATCTCATTATGTTTTCTTATCTTAAGATGAACTCCTTAAAAAGACACACGTGAGGAAATAGAGAAAGAGCCAAGGAAGCAAAAGAAAGAGGAAGGGAGGGAGAGAGGGAAGGAAAGGGAGATGGCAATTAGGAAGGCAGAGAGGAAAAAAGAAAATTGCTAAAACGAATTCAGACCCTGTGAAAACCTAACTCAATTAGATGATCTCTCTCCTATTTTCTTCCTTAAAACATTTTTTGTACATTCTTTGCCAACAATAGAATTTATAATTATGCAATCATATTATCTTAGGCACATTTAAAACAACTAAACCCACAATAAGAATCTGAGAAACCAAAATTTGTATCTTCTTTTAGTGGAAAGTGCAGTTCTATCTGTGAGTCCCCATTTTTCAGTTTGCCCAAAGCTGGCCAACTTCTCCCCACTCCGCAGGACGAGTGGGGAGATATTCCAGGAGCATACGTTGGAGACGTAAGAGATCCCTTGTTGCGCACAGAAAATCTCCCCCCCTTGTATACCTATGAGCAAGGGATTATTTTTAAATTAAAGTGAAAGCCCTTACAGTTCCAACAAAGGGTCATAGCTGCAAGATCTATATGGAAGAAAAAAGATCTGGCTCCGTAAATTTTGACTTTCTACACTTATATTCACAAAATAATTTTATACGCTCAGGGCATTTTTACATTTTACACAAGGATCCCCTTATGTCTCAAGAGGGAAAAAAATCTGCCATTCAATGCTTAGCTCAACTAAAACCTATTTACTTCTTTTAATAGCCACGTCTGCTGCTGATTTTTTTGTATCTGTACAAAATTTTTTTCTGTGCTAGGCACAAAGCAGGGCATTTTTCAAAAGAGGGGATTAGAACATTTGCAAGCACCAGACAAAGAGAGAATCCTGTGCAAAAGGACACCGTAGTTTATCCAATTTTCGACTTAGTGCCATTCAACTGGTCATTTATGCAATGTCATCCGACCAAACAACATGTTTTACTTATGAGGGGGAAAAGTTTGTTAAGTGAAGGGACCAAGATTCTTTTCTTCCAAGAAAATAAACATCTTAACAGAGTGGGAGGAGGGAAAGTGGTTCTTTCCCTTGGAGAACTTCAAGGCCCTTTACTTCTACATTTCAGATATTTTGAAACATTTTCTTCAGCCTCTTTTTAATATACTTATTCTCTCTTTTCTTTTTTATAACTCATTCTAAAGTGACATTGCACATACTAAGGAAGGAACGACTCCAGGGCAAAAGATGAAACAGGGTATAGTGTATGATAAAAAGTATATATATTTACATAGCTACATATATCTATAATACATGTCTGTGTGTATACACACACATGTATGTGAATTCTATGAAGGACATTTGTAAATCTGACAAGCTATTTTCTTCCACTCTTCCCAAACAAGTTGGCAGAATGAAAAAGAAAGAGTCATAACTACATTTAAAATGAGAAATGAGGAGGGAGTGTGTGGGAGAAGCCCGTCTCTCTCCTTTTATTTCTTCCTTTTTAGAACATTCATCAGCATATGCCTCATTTCAAATGCAACAAATGTAAATATACTTTTCCCTGCACAGAATTTTAAGTGAAAGTCCAATGGTTTGGAGGGCGGTCTAAGTCTGCCTAACAGATGCAAACAGTCTTGTGGCTTCAGTTCCATCTTTGAGTCCCCTAAAAAGATTTGCTATGGCCAACAAAGAAAACTGTCACACCTTTTCCCATCACCGCTTTAATTTATGCTCAGTCTCCAAGTTTTTTTTTTTCATATTGATTTGATAATCACTTTAAGGCAGAACATTTAAAATAAGAAAGAGCTGGTGAGTAGGTTGAAAAGGGGGGTCTTACAGGCCTGCCTCAATATGGTGAAAATGGGGAGGCAAAAAGGGAGCCAGGGCTGTAAAGGTTGTTTTGTAAAGTGGGTTTTTATTATGCACCGACTCTCTCCGCATTTACTTAACTCTTCACGGGCTGTTGGGTAGGTTAACACCCTTCAAGGCCTCTTTCATGTCCAATACCTCGTTTGTTTGTAAAGGAAAATGAGCCTTTAACACATTTTGAGTTAGGGGGAAAAAAAGACAGATGCAGAAAAAAATTTATTTTTTTGTAATCAAAAATCAGCAAATCCTTTCCACCTTTCCAGCTCAAGTGATTCCTCAATGCATTAGGAGCCTGAAGATCTACAATGAGTGGACCTGAAGGTATTTCCTCCATAAGGCCCATTTTGGGTAGCATATAGGATGTTTTTATCTTTGGGTAAAACAGAACCCTGACATACACATCTTGATTCCTGCATGTGAAATAGCTCCTATGTGTTCCCAAGAAACCCACAACCCCAGACTTGATCTCCAGGTAAATTTTCTCCCCTCGTAAAGTGCTGAGTACACTCTCTGTATATATTCTATGTGCCTTGATGAAGACTCAAAGGGCTTCTCATTCTCTGATGCCAACATGAAAGGCTCTCAGGCACTTTGAAGTACAATATTGTATGGTGATATAAAATGCATACCTTAAAATTTATACAACTTTTAGATTGTGGTTTTTCTTGCATTTTTTTTTCTTAAAAATGTTTTCTGGCTACCTTGTAGGATCCTAGCTCAATGATTGCTTTCACAGGTCTACTGAGAAGGGGTTGAGGGATGGACCAGTCTGAAAAACTACCCACATGACCATACCTATCATATCTCAGTGATTTTATTTTATTTTTCTTTTATTAAGGGCTCCGTGGAAGCCCAGTGTGGGCTCGTTCTTAATGGCCAAGGTGGAGTGATAAGAAGAGGTAAGTAAGAACATTTTATTCTAAACATTCTCCTCTTATCTGTTACTTTGCTTTGAAGATCTGGTGTGGTTTTAAGCATTGAATTTCTTGTCTGCTCATTAAGAAAACAATTACTCTTAGTCAGTTATTCAAGTTCCATACAGGCATATTCACATTTAACATTTTTCTTTCTTCCATTGAGGCTTGAACACAGGTTAAGCCCAAGAGACTGTGCTAGGCAATATCTGCTGCTCCTCACAGAAGTGACAGAATCAAAGTTAGAAGAGGGGGGAAAAAACTGAAGAAAAAAACCCCCAACTTTTCACACCCCCTTCCCCAATCATCAATACCACATCCCCGAGCAGAATTTCTGGTCTCTTTTAGCTCTAATGTGCCAGCCACAGGCTGAGTTTTTGAGGTGATGGTGTTAGCTTGAGGCTTTGAGGGATTCTGTGAAAGGCTAGATCATTGAGGCTTTAGAGGAGGCTAATGAAACACCAATATTGTAGCTGCCTTATTTTCTAAATGTCCAGAACATTTCTTTCTTTAAGGGAGGGTGGGAGGAGGCGGTAGTGTTAACTGTACCGGATAAAGCTTTCTTGTTCCCATCTGTTGAGGAAAACATCTGAATCCAGAGTTACCCATGGAATTGGAAGGTGGGGGGAAGGCGAGAGAAGAGGAGAGAGCTGTTGCTTTCAGCTCAAGCACTGAAGGGGGCTGCATCTCAGATGTTCCGTTTTGACAAAAGGTTTTGAACTATGACATTCACAGGGCCTCAAGGCACTGCAGATTTTGCTGGCTTCCATGCTTAACTGTACCCAGAGCCTCTGAAGTTTATTTTTCTAGCATGCTGAGTAACCCAAGGAGCACACAAGGCAAGAGGGACCAGCTGTTATCCCAACTTCATACGAATTAATAAGATGTGGCCTATTCACCAGGACTAATTCCTGCTCCAGGGCCACAATTGTCTTTAGTAACCAAACCACTAAAACTGAGTTACTTCTGATGGTACCAAATTAATGTGCTCCAGTCACTCCCTATTTCTTTGAAAACTTCTTGAATGATTTGATTTTTCTGAAGAGAGACATGTGCTGTTAGAAACAGAAGATTCTTTTGTGTTTAAACTGTAGCTCTCCTGAAGCAATATGCAATATGAACACTTAAATTCAAGAGGAAAGAAAACAAAGGGTGTTTTACTTTTCGAACTTGGCTACTGCTGCCGTGTATGTTTGGAGTTTATGTTAAATTTAAAAGAGCTATTCAGCACTTGTTTCACCTTTCAGATATTTAAAAACTATTTTTAAAAAAATGTCTGATATTGCTCTGCACAATTCTGGGTGTTTTGTTTTGCTTTGTTTGTTTGTTATGAGCAATATTAAGCTTGCCAGTACTCAGGCATATTGTAATGATATGAAATAGGCCCAAGACTAGTGAATATGAAAATTAAACATATATACTATTGGGCAGGTAAAAATTACACAGTAAAAAGGGGGACCCGTGAGACTCACGTGCTGATTGGGATCATTTGGGGCAGGCAAAACTAAAGGTGAGGCCCAGCGCTCTGGGCGCACAGAGATGTCGGTGGTGCTGAAGGACAGCGCCACTAATTAGGGACCGCAACCGGCTCCTCAGAGAGGAGTAGCTCGCGCTACTACCGTTTTTCCATGCGGTTCCGTACTAAGATTGCCTTCCTTGATGCTTGAAAATTACATCCTATTGCACACTAGGTGACAGAGGGTGGAGATTATTCAAGGATGAGGATGGGAGGCCTCGGGTGTGGAATCAGTTGAATTGGCATAGAAAGGTTTAGGTGATATCCCCTCACAGGTTAGCATCCTTCCAAGAAATGCAAAAGATTTAAGAGATTTAAGAGAAAAGAAATGCAAAATATTTAATCTACAAGGTGCAAGCTGAGGTCTTTCCAGAGCCACAGAAATTGTGTTCCATAGGTGATGTTTTATTTTTCTTGTAGTACTCAATACCTATTTTTTAAGTTAAAAAGCATTTCTTAACCTGCTTTTTGAAACAAAAGGTTGATTTTGTAGGAAAACAGCATAACTCCAAAGATAAAGGAAATGTCACTTGGTGTTTATGTCTGTATTGTTAGACTAAACCTTAATCCTCCACTTCGAAGAATTCAAATTTTAGCTGCCGAATTTATTTCATTTTCACATGTTTTAGAGAAAGGCCAATTAACCTGTTTGAACCCTGAAAGATGTATGTCTATATGCATTGGTTTACCCTGAAACTATCAATATTCATGACAGTTTAAAAGTGGATATCAAGGAAGGGATATATGTTTTGTCAGACCCTGCCCTGCCCCTTATCTAAGGACTCTTTTATTTTTAAAGAAATTCTTAGGAAGCTCCTTCTCTCTATGGTCACAGTTATGAATAGGACTCCAAATATCAATAGCTTAGATCAGTTTTGTCCATCAAAAATCAGGAGGACATTAATTCCAGAACTCTGCTTTTCTGCAGTCCCTCAAGTAACCCAGTGTTGTCTTACAGTTTAGATGAGAATGTGTTTATTTTTCAATCCATACTTTACAGATACTTCCTTGTATAAAACAGGATTTCTTGAAAAACACAACTTTTCTACTGTTTTCTGGTTTTGGCCAAATTCTTGGATAAATTTGCATTTCTAGTGGTATCCAGAATTTACATTGCAAGAAAAATAAATCTCACTTTCAAAGACCCCTTCGAGTGTTTTTCTTGAAGAAAGATACATGCCTGTGTAGTTTACATGAGTTCATCATGATGAAACTATCCTGATTTGCAAGGGGGAGAAGGAGTTAGGGGCCTTTAGTTATCTTAAATTTGGCTACTTGTAAAGAGCAACATGCCATTTTCTGATTCACTTTGTTAAGTAGAAAACATTGTTTTGGGCCTATAATGAGAGCCTGATATCCCAAAAAAAAAAAAAAAAATGCGTGAAGAGGAGTTATCAGCAAGGTAATTACCACCTAGATAAAATATTTGCCACCGCCTCGAAGGCGCAGCTCCCTGCGCGCTCACTCTCGGTTAATGGTGTGCGCGATTTTGCCCGCAGCTCCTCCACTCCAACCATCAGAACCAATAATCTTTACTTTACCCTGTGCTCCAGTATCGATAGCTTCTTTCGCCTCGGGCGTTGGCTTTGATATGTTAATATTTCTGAGTAGCAAATTCTGCAGAGATCATATTAATGTTGTACGTACAGAGTGGAGCTTTGCCTTCGTTGAATATTCAGATACTGGGTTTCAAAAGGCATCTCTTGAAGAAATGAGGCTTCTATTTACAGGAGTCGTCTATGTTTTTAATCATTAAAAAAGAAGAAGAAGGAAGGAAGGAAGGAAAGAAGGAAGCAAGGAAAACTCACTCTTCTTTTCCCGGTGAATCTTCCTTACCGCCCCACCCCAAACCCCTCCCTTTGTCAGCCGCTGGTCCCTTTCATTTCTCGCTCAGACGTTAATAATAAGTGAACAATGTTGATGATGACGACGACGAGGAGGAGGAAGCTAATAATGGATCCAGATTGGAATCAAACAGGGTAGGGTTTCAATTGGATAGGGGACTGTGGCCTTCAGATGAGGATAGAGGTGAGATGAGTAAACTCAGCCTTTCCATATGTGGGTGGAAAGTGACATTTTGGCCCTGGTCTCTTTTGTGAAATCGGGATGGCAAAAAAAAAAAAAAAAAAAAAAAGCGGGGGGGATGAAAAAAGTGAAGAGGGGAAGCGCCCTTGTTTCGCTTTGTGATCATTCTGCCTTGCAGCCCCAGGCTAATTTCAGAAGCTTAAATACCGCTGTAGCCTCTGGGCCACGCGGAGAGGGAGCGGACCCGGCCACTGGCAGGCAGGAACGCTTTCCCTATTGCCCGTGGCTACACAAAATACAAACTACTTTGAATCAAAACATTTTTGGGGAATTAATATGATTTGAACTCTGCACGTTTTAAGCGAGCTGGAGTTTGTCAGATCGCTTAGAGGTGACTGGCACTCCGAGGCGGAGGCATTTACGCTGAGGACAAACATTGTCAGATCTGATTTAATTTTTTAAATAATGTTGCCTTGAAACGCTGCTTTAGCTTCAATCGCCCTGACTGCCAATAATAGGATGGATGGAACTGAACGCTTTCCCCTATTTTGCCGCCCTTGTGGCGGCTCACATACTCCTTGAGCAGGAGGATGCTCCTTCTCTGGCTGCTTTGGGTTTCTAGAGGGCCTGAACCTTGGAGTCCCCGGTTGGAAAGAATCAGTGACCATTTCAGCAGCTCCTGGAAGGGGTAAAAATCAAGGGTGGGAAGACTTGTTCCTCTTCTTTGTTAGCACCCCCACTCCACCCCTGCCCCCAGTAAAAAAAGCAGGTACCCTGAATCTCTCTTTCCTGGAAGTCGCCAGAATTCCTTTCTGTGATTCAACCTTTGTAGGTGAGAACGATCCAGAAATACACTTTGAGCCTCATCTTCTGCCTTATTCCCCTAAAACAGATTTGAAGTTCAATCTCTATTATATGAATTCTAAAACTTGTGTATAAAAGTACCCAGAGGCCTGATTTGTTGGACTTTGGTGGTGGTGGGGGGGGGTACTTTCCCATAGTCTGCTATCTTCTCTCCCGGTTTCTTTACTGCTTGAAAACTCACCAAAACCAAAGCACTCTGTGCATTGGGGAATGGAGATTAATCCTCCACACACACCATAACGTACACCACCACCATTAAACCAGCCATTGTCTGGGTGCAAACCTCCCTTTCTTTTGTTCTGCCGGGAATCTGCACAGGGAGGAATTTATTCAGCCATGGTAATCCCGTTATACCTGTAATCGGAGTATCCCTCCTCCGAACAGTACAATCCGTTATGACGCATCATCAAAGGCCAACTAGATGGCAATTAAGTACCCACCCCATTGCGGTTTGATTACAATTAATATCTGCTGCCTTGGGGAGAGGAGGTCACATGTGGGAGGAGGATTGAGAAGGGAGAAAGGCTAGAGGAGAAGCAGCCCAGAGAAAGATACTACCCCACCCAGCTCACACGCGCAGCACACCTCGCAGAAATGCAGCTGCAGAACTAATAAGGACAGGAAACTCTTGTAATCGCTTACACATTTTTAATGTGTCAGGGAAAAAAAAAAGAGCGATCACTGGAGATGAAGAAGGGGAAGAAAAAAAATCCCTGCCGTTTGTATTTCTTTCATTTGAATTGTAAACATCTGTTTGGCTGTAAGGCGAACAGAACATTTATTTTGCTCCCAAGATTTGGTCTAATTATGTCAACTCCAACGCGGCGATGAGTGGGGCGGTGCAGCGACTTTGGAGAGGCTGCGCGCTTGGGCCCAGCGCCCGGAAGCTCGACAGGAAGTATTGATCGCACCTGGAGAGCGCTGGGGACCTCTTAACGCAGCTGGGTGTGTTCTTAGAGAGGGGCTTGAGGGCGGTGAGGCCAGTTTGTGGCTCAGAAGCCGCTTTCGGCGCGCCCAGGGAACCACAGCTCCTTGGAGGCAGCCGCCGCTCTTTCCTCTGCCCTAATTGCTGGGGATGAGAAGAGGAAAAGAGGTCCCAGTCGCTAGAGCTTGGCTTTCCTGTTCAATTGCAATGCAGAGGGTGGGTGGTTTTAATGTAGCGCCTCAGATCTCACCCTGCGACGTGGTAAATTGCTCAACACAATAGCGGTGTTGGGCAGCCTTTGCTCAGGTAACTGAGCACGCGCGTGCGCACTTTCAATTCCCATTTTCCCTCCTCATCAGCTAGAGAGATAAGTAGAGCAGTTGTGAACAACCTCATATTTCAGATCGATTGAGACCCAGATAACTACTCTCCAAGATGCTTGGGTCGCTAGTTGACCAAGTTTGTACTTGTAGCCCAGTACTTTTTACAACATTCCATAGTGTGCCTGCAGACACAAGGACAGATGTCCCCAGATTTGCCAAGAAGAGTGTAATCCCAACCTTCTTCAGACTGTGCAGGATCTAACAAGGTATGACAGCTGAAGGATCTGCATTGATGTATTCTGTGCCTGGTTTTGTCACCCCCACAATCTTTAGCTAGCTTATTCCTTTTGCTTTGGCAAAGTTATTCCTTTTTTCTAAAGTCATAAACTAACTAGACAAGTGACCTTGAGTATATAATTCTTGATTTCTACATTGTTGCTATAGCTGCTCATTAGAGTTTGCAATATCACTGGAACTAGGGAGTCTTGTTTCCAACTTTGAAAATAGTGACCTTCATGTCTTTATTGCTTCTGTGCACTATTAATGGAAAAGAGATGAACTCTGGAATCTTGCATGAACACTCTGGTTCTGGCTGCAAAGACATCCCTAACTAGGGTGCTGAATAAAAAATGAGACCACATAACTCAATGAGAGCTGACATGAAACAAAGGTACCATGATGAACTTCAGCCAGTAACCCTTGTTTATAGCTTGATGAGGTCCACTCTTTTATGACTTTCCTTCTCTGAGGTCTCATCATGCCATCTGTAGTCTGGGTCCCCATAGAGAAGAACTAACCCCTCACTATCGTCATTGCAAATGCAAAACTTTGGTTATGTTGACTTTTTCTTACCTCCATAAAAAGTGAAACATTGAAAAGAAAGATATCAGGTTCCCCAAGTTGCTGTAAACTCTACAAGTTGCCAAATCTTTAGCCAGAACAAGAGAGTTCCCCAAGGCTGCAGCAATGCCAAGTATCAAAGCAACAGAAATTCCCTTTAAAGATGCTGTGACATAAAAAATAAAAGACTCTAGAGTTGATGGCTAATCCTGAATACAAAATAAATCCTTCAGGCAATTTGTGTGTGCATAAAGCATACTGTTAATATGCAGCCTGTGTAATTTACCTAATACATGCCTATTTGAGCATAAGCCAGAAACCCAAACTGGATGTAGAAAAGTCTCAGGGCCCAGGGAGTTAGCACATTACCAGGTAGCAGACTCAGTGGTATCGCTGGGAGCAGCTGGCTTTCAGCACATGGCATTCACTTTGTCAAAAAGGTGGTAGTTTTCTAATGGAAAAGAATTTTATTTAACTTCTTTTACAAAAATGATGATCATTGGCATTTCTTTAAATCTGGTGTCTAACACACTGAACATTAAAGAGAAAAAAGTTCTAAAAAGAGGGGAACACTCTAAATTGTGTCCTTCTCCTTCCTTAGCAGCTAGCAAAATCGTATGTATATTTGCTCAAATGCTTTCTTCTCCCACTCATAATAAACTTGGGACTGATTGGGTGAGATTCCTTTTTCCCTCAAATATATACTGGCTAGTGTTTGAGAGAGGAATGTTAATGGAAGAATATAAATTTACTTATTATTCATATGACTGTGGGTAAGTACCTTTTCTAGAGAGGGCTATGTGAATTTTGAATATAGACATCGATTTTTATTCTTGATGTTTAATATTTTTCTTCACACTAACCTAAATCCTAAAGTAATCAGAGCCATGATTCTCACAGTATGACTCTAAACAGCAAATTTATTTATACTCATTTTGCTTTCCTGTTCAACTTTTGAAAAGTGACCTTTGTTTATTTTTTTTTAAGTGCATTTTGGATCTATAGGTACCAAGGTAAAGCATTAATGAAAGTGACTGTTAACCTCAGACCCAGGAATCTGGGAATTTGTTTTTACTATGATTGTTGTTATTTACTGGCTTAAAATCCTCTCTGGGAATGTGAAGTGCAAAAGCACAGGTGGATTTATGTTTTCATCTCCTGAAGAAGGGGAGTTATAGTCTTCTGTGGTGTGGGCTACAAGTTTGACTCCATGCAATGGACCTGAGTTTGGCAGTTGAGGTTATGACTTCTCAGATGTGAAACTGAAAATAGGTGCCAGGAACTGGCATGAAAATTTTGGCTAAATATAAATATAAATATATTGCAGCCTGGAGAGCCTTTGCTGACACTCTGAATGTCTTACCTTTTGTTTTAGGGGTCATTCAGGGATACTGACAGCCTTAGAATACTTAAGGAGAAAGACCTTGGTCTTTAGCACTTTCCAAGAAAACTTGGATGACAATTAAACAGCCAGGAATAATTCCCCAAATTGCAGAGGTGTAAATAGTTTAAAAGTGGGGCAAGGTTAGCTAGCCCTCTCCTCCCCTGTCAGGGGTCCTTCTGTCTTTCTAAATGTTGTCCAGGTTCTTTAGGCTTCCATGCAAAGGAACATGCCTAAATCTGACTGCCAGAGACTCCCCTCATATAAGTCACTGTGCTGCTTAGTAATACATGGTAGGAGTTACCTGGGAAGCAAGTGGAGAGTCCTAGTCTGGTGCTTCTCAAACTTCAATGAATATATGTACTAACAGGGGGTCTTATAAAGTGCAAATTTTGACAGAAATTCTGAGATTCTACATTTCTAACAGATCTCTTCCTGTCAATTCTGCCTCTATTTATGTATGTATGTATTCGTTCATTCATTCATTCTGGGAGTGCTCCATCAATGAGTTACATCTCCAGCCCATTTATAATATATATATATAGGTGGGGGGGACAGGGTCTTACAAATTATCCAGACTGGCCTCAAACTTGAGCCTCCCAACCTGCTGCAATCACAGGCATGTGCCATTATGCCTGGTTCCGATGCTATCTTTTGAGGACCACATTTTTAGTAAAAAAGATCTTGGACCACACTTTTTTGCCATTTTTCTTTCTTTTTTCCACTCATAGAACTCAATCCTTTATTGGAAACGTGTCTCAAGATTGCCCATAACTTAAAAAAAAGCCATAGCATGCTCAGAAAAACCAACTTGAATTTGAATTCACCACTAAACCTTAAAAACTTTCCTCATAAGGCTCAAAGCAAGATGAGGTAGGCTTGCAGTTCTAGAACATAAAGCCACCATCCTAGCAAGGGGGACATTGGCCTAGAATTTTTACAGTGAGTGAGAAATTTGCCAGCAAGAACTTTCCTCACTGATAAATCCCCTTAGGTCCTCAAGTCTACTTCAGTGGGTGAGATTACAGAATATCCTGTGCTGTACCTGAAGGAAGGTAAAGCTGAAGGGATTTTTTGGACCCTGGAGATAGACATCTTCTGTTCCCAAAACTCCAGCATGTCAAAATTCCTTTGATGATTTTGCTATTAATAGTTCCCTTTGCTTTTCACTCTAATGGTAATAATAAAAACAACCACAGCAATAATATTATTTATAACTGACATTGTTACCATGTTCAGATCTTGTGGTATATTTTCCTGTGTGTGCCAGTTTACACATAATAAAAGAATTTGACCTGTCATTGCCTGTATGGGTTAGAAGTTTCTGGCTATAAGCAGATTATTTTTAGTAATACGTCAAGATTGAATGACTGTGGTGCCTTTAATTATTAGATGGATGAGGGAAAGGAGATGGAATTCTCAAACATTTTGGAAAAGAAAATAAATCACGCATAAAAAGTTTCTATCCATGTATGTGTGTGTACACATAAAGATACAACCATGGATAAATAACACTTACCTTTCATGTGGTTGACTACTAGAATTGGGGTTTTCAATTAATAGAGGTGTTTAATTAATTGAAGTGTTTCTTGGTGTGACTGGTGAGCCAGGCTGTATTCCAAAAGATGCCAATTTTCTCTAAAATTACCATTGTATACTCACAACCATTTTCTGTGTGATATTGAAAAGACTAAACTCTGGTTATCATTCGGAAGGACATCTTCAAAGGAGCTCTCTGAGATAATGTGGGTGATTTATAAGTACAATTGCTGTCACGTACTACTTAATATCAAGTGGTCCCTTGATATTAACTGCCTCTCATATACTTTTCTTCTCCTGCCTTCACTAACATGTAATATACTTTTTCCTCCCAAGGTGGCACCTGTGTGGTCAACCCCACAGACTTGTTTTGCTCTGTTCCTGGTCGTTTGTCCCTTCTCAGTTCTACTTCCAAATACAAGGTGACCATTGCTGAGGTAAAGAGGCGGCTCTCACCACCTGAGTGCCTCAATGCTTCACTCCTGGGAGGCATTTTGAGAAGGTAAGTTAGCACTAGTTTCAGCACTGTCTGTCTGTCTGCTAACTACTGATGCCACACCTTCAACCCTCAGTCCTTATGTCTTCCACCCAATGTATTCTCCATGTCGTCAAGTCTTCTCACAATTTTCTCCAGAATGTGAACTTTCAAAACCTATTTTTTATTTGTTGTTGGACAGAGCAAAATCCAAGAATGGAGGCCGCTGCCTGAGAGAGAAACTGGATAGACTTGGCTTAAATTTGCCAGCAGGAAGACGGAAAGCAGCCAATGTTACTCTCCTTACTTCCTTAGTTGAAGGTATGATTTTTTCAGTACTGTCAAGCAATGATGGAAGGTCGAAAATTCTTTGATAGTCAGGTTTTTTAGATTATGTTATTTTACTTTTTTATGCTATTAAGCATAGTTACAGGTGAGTTTCCTAATTAATCTTGGCAATGATGATTAAATTTGGCTTAATATAAGACTTAAATTATTCATAGGATGTTAATTAACTTACTAATTTTAGCAGTATTAGGGAAGAAGACAATGGAAGACAATGGAATATTCTCCAAATATTTGCTAAAGAATAGCAACAAAAAACTGGCTATCTATTTCATTTTTATTATTTTAGAGTATAGACAAATCTGATTTAATTTATTATAATTCAGCACAACATGATCTGCAGTATAAATAATTCTTTATGAAGAATTCACAGAAGTCTAGGCATGATACTAAGGGCATAAGTACATTGTGTTAATCCTAGTAGATATCTCTTGAAGCACAGTGAAGTTCCATGGCTTTATGGTGGGATACGTTGAGTCAGAAAGGTGAAGGTTAGCTAGTGGGAGAGAGAGAGAGGTGGAAAAAAATTCCCAGAAGTTATTTTTTCACAATTTACATCTTCTCCTTTGTTTTTTTTTATTCTATAAGGACTAAACTTTACACTTTCTCATACAATCTTCTTTTAAGGAGAATTATTAGGTACTTAGCAAAAAACTATGTGGGGGTAGTTTTTTAATGTCAAAGAAAAGTTCTTTCATAACCCAGAAGGCTATGGTTTAAAATGTGAGTGGCAGGGGCCTTTTGTGCTAAGCCTCACCTGAATGCACCTTTGACACTTTTCTACCATTGGTTATTAGCCAATATGGTACTATAGAGAGTGGTAAGTGACCGAAACACAAAAACAAACATCTTGACTTTTTTCTATATTATTAATACATAATATTTACTGTTCAACGTTAAAATTTAGTGAGATATTTACATTTATCTTGAGAAAATTGCTTTAGGGATTGTGCTACTAACAATTGTCTTATGTGCTAATAGCAATAATGACAACAATCACAATATTATTTATGACAAATATTTAGTAAGAGTTACTCTTATAGGTTGAGCATCCCTTACTCAAAAATTCAAAATCTGAAATTTTCCAAAATTCAAAACTTTTTAAAATTCCAACATGATGCTCCAAGGATTTTGAAGAATTTTGGATTTTCATATTAGAGACGTCAACTGGTAAGAGATTTGCAAATATTCCAAATTTTTTGTCCTAAGTATTATGGTTAAATGATACACAACTTATGATGTTTAGATCTTGTGCTGTGTTACCTGTGCTTGTTGATACTGAGGGCTGACCCATGGTAGGGTGACTTGACTTATCCACACATGTTGGCTGGGAGGACTGAAGAAGAGCAAAGTAAAATAATAGTAATTATCATCATCATCATCATCATCATCATCATTTGATTCTAAAGAGAGATGGATTCCTGCTCAATTTAAATAAAAATATTAAAATTATAGCTATTTTTAAAAAGAACAAAACACTTGTTGAGGATAGAATAAAGGAAATTTAAGAATTTATGTGGAGCCAGGTGTGATTGTGCATTCCTATAATCTCAGCAACACAGGAGGATAAGGCAGAAGTATCACAAATTCTCTACTAGCCTAGGCAACTTAGTGAGACCCTGTCTCAAAATAAAATTAAAAATGTCTGTGATGTGGCTCACAGTAGAGCACTTGCCTAGCATCTCTGAAGCCTGATACTGCAAAAACAAAAAACAAACCAATAACACATGTAGATGGTCATTATTCTCAAACCAAACAATGTGGAAAAATCAAATGAGAAGGTGTGTTTAAAAGTGGTTTGGCCCCATCACCGAATTCATTGAAATTCAGTGTGGGGTATGACCAGACTCTCCAGGTGATTCTGATGAATGATAATATTTAAGTAAAACTGATGCTTCTTGGGATTCTTTTCACTTCCCAGGATAGATTGACTATGAATTCTCATAAAATTTGCAACTTTTATGAAAAGTAAAGATCTCAAAAAAAGACCTCTCTCCTGAGTGTCTTGAAAGTACTGGCCAGTACACACAGAAGATCCATAGAGAGTATGTTCACAATTATCCTTATTGATTTCAAGTTAGTCATGAGCACTGGGGTATCCTGTATAGGAATCATCTGTCCATACTAACCAAATGGGTACGGATCAAATATGAAATCCTAGAATGATCCCTGGGGTCTTTGATCATACCTTCCCTATCACAAAAGTGCCTTGCCTGTGTTCTAGTCATATGGCTCTGGCTCACTCTTAACAACAAACCTGGGATAAAGAAACTTAAGATTTTAATTGAGTGCTTATTGAAATCCCTCAAAACTTCATAATGTAGACAATCAAATCTGTTAGTGATGAATTCCAGGCACTTTGGTGGAACTTTGGAACAGAGGTTTAAGGACAAAGGGACATTTTGCATCCTTCAGGGGCCCTTGTATTATGACCCTCAAACTTATTTTCATGTACAATTTTTAAAGTTCCACAAGTTTGGACAATACTCTTGATTTCTTTTTATTTTGTGTTCTTTTCAAATGCTAATTGTAAATTCCCGAATTTTCATAAGTCACTATTAAGGTCAGGATTCATGACCAATAGTATCAAAAACTACCAGTTACATTAAGACATGAGGAGAACCTAATATTAGAAGAATATGGATATTTCATGTAAACTGAACTGGCTTCATTATAACCCTGGGCTGACAGGAAGAACAGCCTCAATGTTGAGGATTCTCCTGTACCTATTCTTCCCCATATTTCAGTTGGTTTGGTGGCAATGGCTGAAAACTCTTTTCCAGACAGCAATGCCATGTTCTGCACTAGGCTCCTGGCCTTTGAACTTCTGCAGGCAGGGTTGGATGTACACAGAGAAACGGAAACCCAACACTGATTTATCAGTCTCCTGAGACACTTAAATAGTTGATGCTTTTCTTTAACAATTCTGGGACTTTGATCCTTTTAGATCCAGAAAGGATCTGAAGTTTGTTCTGTTTGTACAGTTTATCATATTTACCATTTGATAAATGATCCCTTGAATTGAACATGCCTATGGTTGATATATTTTTTTCTCCTTAGTCAAATATTTTTGTAAGAGCCAGCAACATTTTAGATATTTTTTGGAAATTTTGAAACTAGATTCCTAGTCATCAAAAATGGTCCATCAGGGGCTGGGGCTATAACTAGGTGGTAGAGCACTTGCCTAGAACATGTGAAACACTGGGTTTGATTCTCAGCAGCACTACATGAAAGTAAATAAATAAAATAAGAGCATTCTTTCCATCTAAAACAACATTTTTTTTAAATGTTCCGTCAGCTTTCTTAAAAACATAAAGTTTGTGGAAAAGAGCACTACTCTTTTTTTTTCTTCAGTTTTTTATTGATATCCCTGCTTTACCACCTGAATTTCCTACACTAACACATATATGCATTTTAATCACCAATAGCAAGTAATTTTGATTCTTTTTAAAGTGTTTCTTAAAATTCATATAGAGTAGCCTAGCCAAGCTGAGAATATTAGTTTCTCAAACAGCTTGGTGACCCAATACATTACTAGTGTTCAATCATCTCCCCACATTTTGGTACAGTACATGAAACAAGTGAGAAAAATGTTCAATTGACATTATTTCTGATAGATCAGATGTAAAAATAAATCCAATGAAGTTCAAATTTCCATAACTTTATAGCCATAACAAGCTCTCAATGCAGAGATGATATAATCTTTATAAAGATCCCATCAGTAAAGAGTAAGGTGTTTCATGATGGGTATTCAAATTAGCAAATTAACACTTGTTTTTCAAAAACAGCCATTACTGACTTTGCAGGATATTCTTGGGTTTCCATGCTCACCTTGGATTTTTAATCATTTTGTTTTAAATTATTTTAAAAACAATTTTTCTACGTTTCTATTAAGTAGACTTATTCTACTGATACTTCCATCCCATAGCATTGTTCTTGATTCCACATTTTGGAGTAATTATTTTAAGAGGTTATTTGGGGAATTTATAAAACAGGGCTGTTTAATGTAATTCTGTAATATATTTTAATAATTCAACACATCTCTGCTGCAAATATCATCATAGCTTGTAAGCAATGGGATAACTGATTAGAACAATATGTCAGACTCTTTTTAATTTATCAAACTTCTTGAAAAGTGATTATTTTCATAAGGCAGGCATTTTGAGTGTTTTTTTTTTTTGTGTGTGTGTGTGGGGGGGGGATGGGATGGTCACATAACATGGAACATTTAATGGAAACAACATAAAAATATTTCAATCTAGAGTCCCATGAATGTAATACCTGATCTTACTCCCTTTTCAACCATATGTCTTCACCTAAAGTTTCAGTATATAACTATCATTTATGCCCAAGTTCTCTTACCCTATTTTCTTATAAGTCTGTTCTCTACATTTCTCCTTGTTAGTCACACTACTCTAATTTTTCCTAATTCCGTTCTAGTGTCTATAACACCAGAGAGACATCATTCTCTGGAATCTGTGGTGGCTTAGCATTGCTTAACCTAATGCACTTATCTTCCTGAGGAGACATCAGGAAATTTCCAGACTTTTCTGCAATGGAAACACTCTATCTCTAGAAAACATTCAAAGAATTTGGCCAATAATATTGTTCTAGTCCTAACAGTCTTGCTATATTTTTACTAGTTCTGAACTGGCATGTTCTGTAGCTTCCCCCTGCATTTCACTCTGGAACAACCTTTGCAGAGCTGGTGGTCAGTGATCCAGTCAATGCTGTCCATCACTCCTCCCCTGTGGTTTTCCATGGTGTCTAACATTGTAGAGTGTTGCTTGGAGGAAGTTCTGTTCATGTGCATGAGATGCTTTCTTAGAACCATTTTGCTGCTTTTAGAAAAGTCCATGTACCATTCTCAGGCATTATTCATGGTCCAGAAGGCATAGTTTATTTATTCTCTTTAGTAATAAATACCTTGAGTGTCCATTTGTTGTGACAGGAGGTAAAAATCTGTGGTGTGTGTA